ACTACTTATAGACATGCGAAGTTAAACCTTCTGACCACACCTACACAGTGTGGTTTTGAGAATCTCAGCAGCTCAGCCAGGACAGCTTGGGTAACTTCCTTGAGATTTCCAGGTGTCACTGAAACTAGTGACTCAGGACAAGGACTCTGTGCTCTGGGAAAATGATGAAAGGAATGATAGCAGGTAACCCCCATGTTCCACAGATGACATGATTTAGATTTTAGTTTGTAGAATGCTTAGCTTGGTTGGTTTTCTGTTACTATAACAGAACGCATGGAATGGAACCATTTCATAAAGGAAAGAGGTCTATTTAGTTTGTGGTGCTGGCCTGGGGAGTTCAGATCTGGCAGCTACATTTTGGGGAGAACCTCACGCTACACCATTCCAGCTAAGTGGCACAGCAGCACTTCATGGCATTATAAAATCTACTTTTGAGATAGTCCCAGCTAGGCTTCATTTTTATTGACTTGCGTGTTGCATATACTTTATTTCTACGGCTGAATGCCTGTCTCTGCAAGGCATTAATTTCTGATTTTTGTGGTTGGCATCCTGCATAGCCTGTATACCTCATTCTTTATTTAATAAATGTTCTCTGTCTTATAAAGCACGAGGCCTCAAACTGCCCAGTCAGATGTGATGTCACTTTTCAAATGGATTTGGTCTGCCACAAGGATCCGGGGGAGCTGATCACCTGACACCCATCTGTCGGGAACTCTGCTGCTGTCAAGGGACCACAAACCACAGCTCTGGCTGGGCAAGGACTGTTTAGCAAGCCACTCACTAGGAGCCAGACTTTAAGCTATGACTATTCTGGAATGAGATAAGGTACTTCCTCCAGAATTTCAAGTAACATACTGCTCCATTCACGAGAGCCTAGCCTATCATTGACTGAATCAAATGTGCTTCATGACGTAATTGTTCTACATTCTGGTGCAAGTTTACTTGAATAAGTCTGTGAGCCACATTTTGAGTAGCATTGTTTATGTTTTATAAGGGTGAATGAGTGGAATAAGTATATCAAAAATGGATTAGATGGCATGTTTTAATTGGGATGGAAGGATGGAGAAAGGATTCGCCCTAAAAATAAAATCAAGATTATCTGTAAGTGGAACCATGTTCCTTGCTTACTTTTCGCTGCTACAAGAGAGGGGAGATGTTTTTGAAGTACAGAAAACCTCCCTGGTCGTGTTTTTCAATACTGCTGCCAGCCCCTCAATACTGACATCAGCCCCTCAATACTGACATCAGCCCCTCAATACTGACATCAGCCCCTCGATACTGACACCAGCCCCTCAATACTGACATCAGCCCCTCAATACTGCTGTCAGCCCCTCAATACTGACATCAGCCCCTCAATACTGCTGTCATTTCCAGCAAGTGTTTCTTCCTCTTGCTGTTTTTTTTCTTCTTATTTTGACCCCTTTACAATATTTCTAAGATGGAATTTAAAAGAGAAAAACATTATATGGGAAGTTCATTGTATGATCTGGACTTTACACAGTCTTCCCTTTGGTTGTCTACATTGTAGATGCTCAGAGAATTCAGCCCCGGGATTGTGCTCTATGTGTACTACAGTGGTAGGCTGGCCTGGGATTTGAATCCATGTCTGTTTGTTCTTCACCTATCCTCTCCTGTCTAGCAGTTGGCCATTTGACTCTTTATTAAACCAATCAGAAGGTGCCTTAGGCAGGTGAGGCAAAATAGACATCCCACACCATGGCACTCTGTCTTAGGTCACTTGCATTTATTGAAATTGATGTATGAAGTTTAGATAGGACTCCTCTGGTTATCACTAGGACACAGGAAAATCAAGGAATATTTTTGTTTTTGTTTTTTGTTTTGATTTTTTGAGACAGGGTTTCTCCGTAGCTTTTTGGTTCCTGTCCTGGAACTAGCTATTGTAGTCCAGGCTGGCCTCGAACTCAGAGATCTGCCTGCCTCTGCCTCCCGAGTGCTGGGATTAAAGGCGTGCGCCACCACCGCCCGGCAAGGAATATTTTTGTTAAGAAATAAGGGCTTATAGCTCTGAGGGTAAGAATGCCTGCAACCATGCATGGCATCCTAAGTTTGATTTCTAAAACCTATGTGGAAGGAAAAACAACTCTAAAAAGTCACTACATGCATTCTGTGGCATTTGTACTTACACACACACACACACACACACACACACACACACACAAAACCCTCCACCAATAAATAAATAAATGCAAAAAAGATAATGGCTTAAACAAATGAAATTGTCATGGAGAGGGATTGTGAAAAGAGCTAGACATTCAAAAGAAATGGTGTTTGGACAGATGTCTAGGTACCTGGTTGAATTTCAAGGCATGGAAGATTACACACACACTTACTTACAAAGCATAGAAAGAAGAACATTGAAAAGACATTAGGATGAAAGACATTAAAAAAAAAGAGAGAGACAGCTTAATAGTAATGCCAGAGGTGGAGAACTCATGGATTGTCTATTCTACCACTTCACCTGCAGTTTTCTTTATCCAGACTCTGACAGACGATTCTGAAGGGACATCTGGGTTGAAGTCTCCAAGGGTAACCCGAGGTTTGATGATCCGCTCGAAAGATCCACAGAACTCAGCATATAGTTGCCTTTGTGGTTATTACAGGAAAAGAAACAAACCCAAGATCAGCAAGGAGAAAATGCACGTGACATGAACTTGGGAGAAACCAGACACTTGGTCTTGCAAGAGCCCTTCCTCAGTGTAGTAATGCATGACCCACAATTCCAGCGGAATCAAACTGTGACAATAATGGAGGAACTACTGCCTAGCAGGGAAGTGCATTCAAATAGCCAAGGTTTAATTGCAGACTAGTCACATAGGCACTCCCTGCCTAACAGTCCCACACTTCAGATCCCCAGAAAACAGGCAGGTATTCGGTATAAATCACTCTGACTCTCATCATATCTCCATTTAATCCATCACCCTGACCCCTGGAAAATTTTGACCTCTTCTGCAGGATAAGAGCAGATTAAGGCAAATTAAGTCAAGAAGAAACCCTGTGAGGAGCTGGAGTATTGATTATTTTATCTTTGTGAGAGGTAGTGAAAAACCCTCATTTTCAAAGGCGGTGGAAGAAATCCCCCAGTCTCAATAATTCAGGCCAACAGATGCAATCAGCAAGAGGTATCTTTATTGATTACACAGGTGCCTGTGGGTGTAACAGTAGCTTATGCTAACTGCACACCCCGGGCAAATCCAAACAGCCATATTTATAGGGAAAAATGATTACATAAGAGGGCAGTATAGTACAAGCATTTCATTGGCTCTCAAATTGGTGGGCTTAGCTCATCCTGGGAATGGCCCCATGTCTATTCTTGAATTTCCCTGAAAAACTATAAAGACAGATAAAACACCCTGCAGCAAGTTGACAATTTAGATAGGATGTCTTGGGGGGTGGAGTATCCCTCTCCTTAGCCTAGTCAGTGAGTCTGCAACCCATAGATATCCAGTTTTAGCATCAGCTGAGCCCGGGGGCCCAGCTAAATTTTTCAGCAGAGTTTAACATAGTATGTGGGCACGGGGGGCTTTAAGTATGGGGGTCTTTCAGTAGTTATACAGCTATGTGCTATGCAACTATTTGATTGATGCATGCTTTTCCAACCTCATTAAGGATCAGAAATATTCATAAGCAATGAACAGTAATATACAGTCTTGACCCGAGGCTATTGATACTGTTGCTTTTGTTATAACGAAGAGATCTACATTACACAGACATCCTAAACAAAATTACATAATTGAAAATATGGACGAGTTTAATACAATGAGATAAACATTTAACATGCTAGTGAATGCCTGTGACCCTAGTACTAAGACTGAGAAGCAGGGTCAAGCATGTTCTCGGCCAGAATGGGCTACATAGTGAGACATGTTTCTTTTTTTAAAAAATTTATGTGTAGAGTGTTCTGCCTGCATGTTTGCCTGCAGGCTAGAATGATGTGGGATTCCCCTTTGTATGCTGTGAATATGTTTTATTACCATTTGAATATAAAGAAGCCGCTTCGGCCTATGGCAGGGCAGAATAAAGCCAGGTGGAAAATCCAAACAGAGATATAGAGAGTAGGCAGAGTCAAGAAAGTGCCATGTAGCTGCCCAAGAAGCAAGAGGTAACAAACCACGAGCATCATAAAATATAAAATAGAAATGAGTAAATTTAAGATGTAAGAGCTAGCTAGATATATACCTGGACCATCAGCCAAACAGTGTTATAATTAATATAGTTTTTGTGTGATTATTAGGGTCTCTGTTTATAGCAGAAGAGGGCACCAGATCTCATTATAGATGGCTGTGAGCCACCATGTGGTTGCTGGGATTTGAACTCAGGACCTCTGGAAGAGCAACTAGTGCGCCTAACTTCTGAGTCATCGCTCCAGCCCCGAGACATGCTTCTAAAATGTCTTTAAAAGAAGGGTGGATAAGAGCTCCTACTACTCTTGTAGAGGACCTGGCTTTGGTTCCCAGCACCTATATCAGGCAGATTATAACTGCCTGTAACTCCAGTTTTGGGGGATCCAACATCCTCCTCTGGATTCTACAGATACCTGCACTCATGTGCACACCCTTTTTCATAAACACATAATTAAAAATGCATCTTTTATAACGAAGTGTCTAGTAAACTCTCATCAGGGCATCCATGAGTTACATGTGCTTTAAGGGGTGGGGCAAGAATCTGTAATATTCAGGAGACATAGTGATTAGGGGCATGCCAGTACATCTCCCTGAAGTAAAAGACAAACCATTGTATCTTGCATGCTTTGCTATGACTTAGGAAGCACAATGCTTGCTAGTCTTCTGGGTTCAGAGGCAGCATATTTCACACCTGCAACACCACTCTTCCACATGCTGGGAACATGAAGAGCCGCCAGTTCAGACTATGTTAGAAGGTGGGCTGATGGAAGACATGGAAGCAAGCAAGCCCTCTGCGTATGTACGTGCTTATCTTTCCCTGACCAATTTTTTTAATCAAGGTATGAAACACACAACACATTACTAGACAAAATTTTTATTTTTCAAATAAATAGCTTTCATTCCTGAATTATTTGTCAGAATTTTATTTTCAAAACTAAGTATATAATTAATGCATTTTTACCCTTTCTCAAATTAAAGATTTAACAACAGTCTATTTTCAGAACTCAAACTTGATATGGAGAAAATGCCACATCAATCCTTCATACCTTCTTTGGAAACCAAGTGTATTTCAGGGTCTAGAGGCCAGTCCATGTTTAGAAACTAGAGCCCTTAGGTTGGTCAGCTTTGGCTGCCTGGGAACTTCCGGGTAGGTCATGGTGATTCGCCTTTTCTTTATACACAGCAGTTCTTCCCTGGAAGACCTAGGCTGCAATCTCTGGGCAGAGGACTGAGGTAGGGATGGCGGTTAGGCAGATAAGCGCCAGCTGGTAGGGATCCTTTATTTCAGGTCTGGTTTCCACTGTAACTATTTGTCCAAGGGTAAAGAGCAAATGGGAAGCTCTGGGTCCTTACCCACTCACCAAAGTCTCAGTGATCTAGGCCCAGTGAAAGAGAGGACAGAGACTGACTTCACCAAGACACAAGCGGGCAAAGTGACTGTGCAATGAAATAGGGCCGAGCCTGGAGCCTTCCTCTTCAGTCTTCCGGGCTTGATGTATGGCCGGCAGCCAGGGGAGGGGGCGACTGCAGACACCGCTGCGCTTTTTCTTTTGCCATCCCCCCAGTCACCAATTTAAACATATATGCTCACAAACAGGCTGAGGATTTAGATTCTACCCACATTTCTTGTTAGAGTACCCGATGTGACTTAAAAAATTAAACAAGGAAAATAAATAACAGGCAGAAAATAAAAAATTTGAGGGTAACAAAAGAACCTCAGTAATTTCAATCTTTCAAATGTGGGTAAAAATCTCTTTTAGAGGGAAGAGCTAAAGTCCTACATGAAAATACAATATCTTAAATATAAAAATCTTTATCTGACCATACCCTTATGGTACTACTATGAAACAAAGTTACAGGGAACAGATAAACAAAAACTAGACATGATTTGCTAACACAAAGAACCAATTGCTGCACACTCTGACTATGCACAGATCTCCAAAAAAGATTCACTCATATTTGTGCTTAATACAGAGAGGGACTTTGGCTAATACTTTTTATTTTAATGTACCGTATTTATGATTCTTTTTTTTTTTTAAATTATTTATTTATTTATTATGTATACAATATTCTGTCTGTGTGTATGTCTGCTGGCCAGAAGAGGGCACCAGACCTCTTTACAGGTGGTTGTGAGCCACCATGTGGTTGCCGGGAATTGAACTCAGGACCTTTGGAAGAGCAGGCAATGCTCTTAACCACTGAGCCATCTCTCCAGCCCCGTATTTATGATTCTTAATTTTAGTTTTTTTTTTAGTAAGAAATCAGAGGAGAAGCAATATTCCTAACATTGGGCTCAATCAGTAAACAGCTAAGACTCTTCTTCTGTAAACTTGGTAAAAAGTCTCCAACAGTACTTCCGCACGCCATTTCTGAGTAATTACTGCCACCGGACAGTCATCAGTTCCGTTTCTATTTCCACTGCTAGATCTGCACATTTGCAATAGCTTTTCTTATGTGTTACAGTTCTAAAAGTGTCAGCAATATTACTTCTTAAAACCACAAGACAGCCTTGCAAATCTTCAGCGGGTGGCAGCACTATGTATGGAAGAGGTGACTGAAGAGCCAGGAGTCATGTTCTCGTGAAGCAACACCTGCTCACCCAAGTCAATCGTGTGTGCTTTCATTCTTTGGTGTCTGAAGCTATCCTGACTAGTCCTTGTGAGGAGGGATGATGCACTGTACTGAAACACTGACATCCTGTCAGGAGTCTTAGCTAACTGGCTCTTAACTTAAAAGCCAATAAATCTTTTCCATGGGCTATTCTCAGGGTCAGTGCTATGAAGTGCCTTATTAAAAAAATAATCCATGATTAATTGCTAAAGCACCTTGGGTTGGAGGCAAGATAAACGTGTGTTGTAAACAAAGTCTGCTTTATAGTAAAATATTTAAAATTAAAATCACAATTTACTATAAAGGACATACAATAATGTAATCAAAGTTAAAATTCTGATGTTCCAGTTGCTATAACTTATGTGAGATTTAGCCATCTTACAACAGTGACCCAGCGCTAGTTTATGTCTGTAAAAATGTAATTGTCACAAGTCACACAAAAGCATAACTACAACACATTTCTGCACATCTTCGATAAGTTTTTGGTTAGCAGGGATGATGCATAATGCTGCCTGGTATCCAAAGTGTTGTCAGTGATTATAGGATTTAGAGATGGTATGTGAGGTCTTCTAAGAAGCATCATCAATGCCAACTGCAGATGGATATAAAACATTCCTTCACAAATCCAGTCTCATTCTGTGCTCTCACAACACTCCCAACAGAAAGCATCCAGTCTATTGGCTGTTTCTTGGCTGATCAGACATTCATCTTTTAGTTCTCTGATTGTCTTTCTCAGTGATTTTTGAAAGTGTTTTTCTCGGTTCAAAACATTCTGCAGACTTTCCTTGGTATTCTCTAGCTCGATGATCACATGATCTAATTTATGCTTAAGCTTCTTTGGACTGTCCATTACACTGTAGCTATGTTCCTAAAATATAAACACCAGGTTTTTAAATAGGAAAGACAAGTGGTTAGACAAAAGTTTAGCACTAAGTTTCAGCTAGTTATTCATTTATAAAACTTAGAGGAAACTATTAGGTTTAAAGACGACAGGAAGAAGACAGGAAGTGGAAGCAGTATTAGGGTGCCTGAGCCTCTCTTCCTTCTGAGGCTCAGATATATGAGGAAGATGGATCACTGACGATGAGAATCACTCCTCATTTGGGGTTTCCTGCCTGCTAAGATGAGCACTGGCTGAAACGGCACTGGCTGCCATAGCACTTGCAAAATCTATACGCTTTCATTCCTTTAGCACAGCAATGATGAACAGCTTGTATTTATCAAATGAATGAGTAATTTTTATTTATTTATCTTTTTACACAGGGTCTCATGTATCCAAGGCTGGCCTTGAACTTGCCATATAGTGGAGGATTACTTCAAACTTCTGATTCTCTTACCTCCACCTAAGGATTGCATGCATCCCCCAATGCCCATTTTTTGCAGTGCTGGAGATCAAACTTTGGGCTTTGAAAATTTTAGGAAAGGACCCTAGGAACTGAGCTCCATTCCCAGTTCCAAGATTTAGTGATGGTGTGTGATAGAATAAACTTTTCCTCCATTTTGATGAATATTTTACTTTATAAAAGGTACAGGAAAGAAACATTACAGTGGGTGCTTAGGCTGAGTGCTGGGGACTGGATAGGACTCCAGTATTGGAATTAAAAAAAAAGATAATTCCATCAATATTTATTTTGGCTATGCTTAAGTATATGGCAATATACTTTTACATGTTCATTTGTAAATAAGGAAAATTACACTGACATAGAAAGATACTATAAACTAATTTTGTAAAGTTATTTAATATTAAAAACACTGAAGGGGACTTTTGCGTCTAGCCAAGATAAAGTATAAGACTAGACTGATACCACATGAACCAATGTGTGGTACAAACACATAAAAAGTATTTGAGGATAACAGGTACTCCACTAAGACGGAAAACAGAGGTGAGGTCTGCAATCGCTCCAGCTTAGCCTTGGAAGAATTTGTATGCCCCAGTGCAAAGATGAGAAACCCATGCAGAGCTTGGCATATAGGAGGAGAAGATTAAGCAAACATGAGGGAAACCAAGGAGGCTATTTTTTCCTTCTATTTTTGTGTGTGTGCATGTGGAAGCCTGAGGTTGATGTTCAGACTTATCCTCTTTGCTAGTCTCTATTCACTGAGGTAAGGAATCTGAATCAAATCCTGAGCAAACAGATCTTGCTAGCCAGCTGGCTTTGGGAATTCTGTGTCTGCCTTGTGAAGTTAGAATACCACATTTATAATCACTGGGCTATCTCCCCTGCCCCAAATAATATACTTCTAAATAACAATGACAGCAGCTTTCACCTTACAAGAAAAAGGCAATACATTTTACATTTTGAAATAAGTAGAAAAATATAAAAACAGACAAACAGAAATTAGGGAAGTATAAAAAAATGAACAAAAGTTGAAATCTATGATAAGATGAAAAAAATAGTTAAATCTTCAGGTAGGTTAATCAGAAATGTACAAAACAGAAATATCAGGAGTGAGAGAACACTAGAGTCTACCAGAGTCAACAAAAGGACCAATAAGGAGGTATTATTAAATACCTTACCCTAATAAATGTTGTAGCTGTGATGAAATGACAAAACTTTGGAAGACAAAAGCTAGTATTTCCTTCAGCAAGCAAACAACAATAACCCCTAAGTCCACAGTGCTTCACTAGACAAATCTATCATATATTTATTTAAAAAATTATTTTACAAAACCCCTTTTCCTGAAAACTTGAAATGTTGGCAAAATTTTCTCACTGTTTTGAAAGGTCAGTATTAATCTGATCTTGAATTCAGATAAATAAAACATTAGAGGAAGAGGGGAGCCCTATGCACTAAATATCCCTCTTAAACACTCAAGGAAAGATTAAACTAACAAACTCCCAAGTTGTACACAAAATACATAAAAACAATGATACATTATTGAGTAAGGGTCATCCTGGAGCAAAAGGTTAGTTCAGCGCTTGAGAAGTCAGCTTACAAGTTAACTTAAAAAAGAAAAATCATGTTAGGAGATGGGATTGCCTGAACACTGGCTCTCAACATTCCTCATCACAGTCCTGGAGTCTCAAGCAGTTCAGCAAAGCAAGGAAAAGCAACAAACACATTTATAGGACGAAGGAAAAATTAAAACTGCCTTCATTATAGAGAACATGATGATCTATGCAGAAAATCTGATGGCCTTAAGGAAAAAAAACCTGCACTGTACTTAATATTTGAGTTCAGCACGTTTGTCAGATCTAAGATCAACATAAATTATATTTCCATCTTCTAGGAGCAAACACAACGGTATCATTTAGAGCAGCAAGCAAACAGAAAATACTAAGGGTCAGATCTGCCAAAGCAAAACACCCGTGTGCTGAGCACTTTCAAGCAGGGCTGAGAAGGTAAAGGCCGAATAAAGGGGGCACTCAAGTTCCAGTGCCAAAAGACTCCGTAAGATCCCCAGCTCTCGCTTCTCTCCGTGGGATCTACAGAGGCGGCAGAGGACCAGTGAAAATTCCAGCACGGGTTTTGGTAAAATTTTACCAAGTGATTTTAAATTCATATAAAAATGCAAAGAATCTCAAGGTCCAAAACAACTTTGATACATAACAAAGAAAGTAGACTAACAGTACCTGATTCTAAAATGGTAAAGCTGTATATAAGCCTAGCATTTAAATGAACAAGGAATCTCTAAGTACATACAAGCCTGAATACTCTGTGTTCTGTGACTTTTTCAACAAAACCTAAAGATAGAGCTATTATTAATTACATATTTCCATGAAGAAAATATACTAAAGGGAAGAGTTATTTTATCTGCAGCCTCATCCTTGTAAAGGCATTTTTCACACTCAGTAACCAGCAGAGTAACTGCTTCTGTATTGCTCCTGCATACATTCAGATCATAACGATCCTGGGAAGCAAGCGCGTTTGGAAACATCACACAGTAAAGACCCCTCCCCAACAAGTCTACGTTCTGTTTTTCTATCACTCTGACATATTTGATCCTAGTGGAGAGACCATATTCACCTTAAAGCAATTAACTCAACAATTAGCTCAGCAAAAATTTTACTTACAAAAATGAACTGGGATTGGAATTCTTCAGTGCATGAGGCACCGACAAGCTGGTGACCATGGTTAGTGACTGGAAGGGTTTTGAGAATGAAGTTTTTCCTACAATGAAGTTTTTCTCTCTTCTCCTGTTAGGAACAGTTAATGAAAAACATTGTGACTGTATCTGTTCTTACAGTTTGATTCCTTCCTAACTTTCAAAGTGAAAAAAAGTACATAGTGAAACACTATACTGCTTGCAGAGACTATTCTGGAAGGAAGTCAGTGTGTTTCATTCTGTTTACTTTCAAAGAGCATCCCTAAAGCACCTCTAGGGTTCATCTATCAACATAAAATTTCCCTAAAAATGAAGAGTGAAAATGAAAAAGGACACTCCTCACCAGCTGAGAAAAAGAAGACAGAGAGGATCTGAGGAAGTGAGTTACAGCGACAATCATGGTCCAAGTCTCTTCTTGAAGAAAAGACAGCCATCAAGGGCAAAGTGACCAACTCACAGCACTGTTACTGGAAAAGAATAAAATTCATGAGGTTTACTACTCAACCCTTCTGTTTTTCTTTCGTAACCTCATCTCTCTGTCTTTTTCACTTATCCTTTTTTCTGCTTGACTTTTGTTCATATCTAAGTTTTAAATTCTATACCTGTGACTTCACTTGGAACCACACTTTGGTCCAATTTGCAGTTTGCTGTTGAGTTTTCTTTTTCTTTCTTTTTTTGTTTTGGTTTTTTGAGGTAGGGTTTCTCTGTGTAGCCCTGGCTGTTCTGGAACTTGCTCTGTAGCCCAGGAAGGCCTCAGACTCACAGAGATGCTTCTGTGTCTGCCTCATGAGGGCTGGGACTAAAACACATGCCCCGCCATGCTCCCGAGTTCTTAAGTACAGTCAATCTGAAACCTCAGTGCAACCTTCTCCATTTTTAAGAAGCTGGTTCTGAGTTAAGACAATTCTTTCCATCAGTCCACTTATCTGAACCCTAGCCATTAACCAATGTTTACGGGTGGCTGCTGGCTATATCATCTGCCAGGCATCATGAAAAGCTGAAGCTACAGTCCCTGGAACTCCCAGAATGCACGTCAGATGAAGAAAGTTGCGCCGACAAACCCACGAGTGCTGAAGTGTCTTCAGAAACGTCACAGGAAGTGAGTGCTCAGAGCGAGCAGTAGTTTGCAAACAAACCTGCAAGTGATCTGGGGACTCAAAGACAGAAGGGACGACTCCTGGCTTCAGTTTAGTGTTCGGAGTGCTTCTGTCAAAGTCTGTCTTCTTGAAGTGCCTTGAGCACAGCACGTCTCCTTTCTTTGGCTCCCAGATGCCTGCAGCATTCACATCTAGTCTTTTCATTGCCAACACCCATTTTCGCTTGATGTTTTCATCTGTGGGGAATCTAGAAAAAAAATAAAAAAATTTAAAATTAAATACTATTGATATATATTTAAACTGAAACATTTAGGAAATCATGATTCTTGCTTATGTAACTAATTTTTTTTTTTTTTTTTTTTTTTTTTTTGGTTTTTCGAGACAGGGTTTCTCTGTGGCTTTGGAGCCTGTCCTGGCACTTGCTCTGTAGACCAGGCTGGTCTCGAACTCACAGAGATCCGCCTTCTCTGCCTCCCGAGTGCTGGGATTAAACGCGTGCGCCACCATCGCCCGGCTTGTTTTGTTTTTTGAGACAGGGTTTCTCTGTAGCTTTTAAAGCCTGCCCTGGAACTAGGTCTTGTAGACCAGGCTGGCCTCGAACTCAGAGATCCTCCTGCCTCTGCCTCTCGAGTGCCGGGATTAAAGGCATGCACCACCACCGCCCAGCAACAAATTAATTTTTAAAAATTACAATTTTATTTACATGCACATGTGCGCACACGCATCCCATGGTATGCACAGTATAGACTAGAGAGCGATTCGTGGGAGTTTCTTCTCTTCCTGTGTGGTCGTTAGGTGTGAGGACAACTGCCTTCACCCACGGAGACATCCTGCTGCTCTCTCAACCCAGTTTTAGCATCCAGGCTTTTCTGCCGACTCTTCTTCAGACACAGGACCTCTACTTAACATTTTATCACACCATATGGACTTCTCAGTGGACCTTCAGCACCTTGGGGGCAGGATCTGCAATCCATGGTTTTCCCTCATCTACAGATGTGAAAGTATACCACTGGCCTTTCCCATCCTGAGGTGACATCCACAATTTACCCTGTACTTTCACTTCTGGCATTATCCCAAAATTACACGGAACAGCAGCTGATACATAGCAGGTTTACAAATGCTTTACGAAACGTGCAGAGAATAGCTGCGGAGTGTAGAATTCTCAAGACAGAACTGTCGGGGGGATATGGGAGTCAATAATCAAAATTCTCAAAATTTCCAAACCAGTACAATTATTTTGGATAAGGTAGTGTAGACATACTTTTTATTTCCATGTCTATCAAAGTTAACACAAAAGCTGCAAAATCCTTAGCACGTTTACAATCATATTAGATATTCCCATGGGAACACCTTTAAGCCTCCTCTGTTTCTAAATAGAAGGGACGTGTATTTTAACAAAGGCCCCCCATTTAGACTGTAAAGGACAGGGAGCCTAACAATTAAAATGGAAACATTAGCAAAGGTGAGACTGACGATTTGTGTGTGGGATTTTATTCTTGGTGGTGTTACTCTCGTCTTTGATTCCTTGGCACCTTATAAAGGCGTGAAGGCTACTCTTTAAGAGGACCGGGGAACTGAGCTTGAGACTGCAGACTTAGGTAGAATCGCTCATTTCAGTAACAGCGAAGTCTTACACATGAAATGTCAGTCCTTTTAACTTGGAATTTGGCAAACAGCGAGAAGCACATCCAATGGCCGAGCAACATTTCACCATGATTTTAGCAACTCATAACGAAACTGTAAGAGAATTAAAATGAGTTAGTTACTTTAGGGCTAAAGTCAAAGGTAATTTCCCACCACCCCAAAAAAAGAAGTTTCGCTGGTAAAATTTTCTCAAGTGTCGGTACTTTTTTTTATATATATATATATAAGGATGGACATTTGATGTACCTCGAGGTCTAAGATTTCAACTTTGTAGATTTCGTTATTTGTCTCATGTCCTTACCCGATTTTCCCTGTCACAGCTCTGTGCACCCTAACTCCTGGGACACTGTTTGCAATTCCCCTTTCAGCTCGAGGGTCCCCTTCCCCAGGGAAACCACACACGGTTATCCTTCAAGGGTCCCTCCAAACTGTGATTTTATTTAACACAGTGGTTCTTTCCCCCTAGCCATCTGTGAGTTCCACTTTTTCTCCTCACGTCTTAGCTGGCGATCAGCACGGGGAAACGCGAAGGGAACGTCGGCAGCCGCCAGCACGAGGTGCCCGACGCGCCGCCACCGAGCTCCGCCCCCTGCTGGAGGCGGCCGCGAGCACGGCCGAGGGAGGGGCCTCTGCTCGAAGGCGCCGGGCGGCCGAGGGCGGCCTGCAAGCGGGGTCTCCACCCGGCGTCTCGGCGGCTCCCTTCGCCCCCAGCTCTGGGCCGGCAGCGATGCGGGGGCGAAAGGAGAGCCAACCTACGCGTTATTACCGTTAGCAGCGAAGACAGCGACTAACGTCGGCGACGGAGCTAGCGCCTCCCTTCGCTTCCGCCCCCTCGAGCAGGAACCGGAAATCCGGCTGCCCCGGGTCACGTGAGCAGCCGCCATCTTGCCCGCGGTGGCCGCCCCTGCGAGAGGGAGGCGTGTCAGGCCGGCTCTGCTGCTCCGAGGTGTGGCTTCCAAGCTGGGGGAAGGCTCTGTAGGTCGTGAGGGGAGGTGGAGGAGATGGCGGCGACGGCGCGGGAAGATGGCGTCCGCAGCCTGGAGCGAGGGCGGCGGGGCTGCGAGCACTACGACCGGGGCTGTCTCCTCAAGGTGACGACTTTAAAGGGCGCTTCCTGAGGGGGTGCCGGGTTAGGCGGGGGGCGGGTTGGACCGGCCGGTTAGGCTTGGGCGTAAGTTTCAAACTGATTGGCTTGTTGAGATGCCTTCTGCATCCGGGATGGGTTCCCCTTGCAGAGAAGGCTTTTTGGGCAGGGTGAGCACGAGCCCTGGACTCGATCTCAGCGTTTGGACTTTGCAAGCCGAGTTCTTGTTTGTCGAGAGCCGGGCCTCGCACGGAGTCCCTGACGCAATGGCTTGAGTCGTCATTTGCGGTTGACAGCAGAAGGAAGTAGTGGCAGGCTTGTCCTGAACATTGCTCCAGGACCTCTGTCAGCTGTGGAGGACGGTGACGGAAGGAGGCGAAGCAGAGGGAAAATCAGAATATAACTTCTGTTTGGGCAGCAAGCTCAGGGTCTGGCCTGTCAGCTTCGCTTTCTTGTCTAGGAGGATTCCCAGACCTGTCAAGGAGAAAAGAGAGAATCACACAGTGTGTGATTGCCATTACATTGGCTTTCAGGGAAGTGCCTAGGACGTTTATGCGATTATTTTTGCTGCTTAAGAAACCTAGTCATTTGGAGTTTTAAAAAATGGCCCTCACACAGTTAAGAGTTTCCTGACTTTATTTTGTTGAGAAAGCCTGGTATTTGAGCTGGGGAGAGTAGCCCAGCGTAGACCTTGTGCTTAAAATGCTGGAGGCCCTGGTTCAGCTAGGGCTCCAGAAATCTCCCACCGAGAAGAAACTTGATTGCTGGAATCCTATAGCTTCGCCCCCACCTTAGTTCTGCCCCAGATTTACTCTGTAATTTTGAGCAAGCTGCTTTTTAAATGGCTTGCATATAAAATGGCAATTTCTGAAGCTCCCCCTCCCCCTTTTTCTTTTTTGGTTTTATGAGACAGGGTTTCTCTGTGTAACAGTCCTAGCTGTCCTGGAGGAATTAGTGCCTTAGACCAGGCTGAACTCAGAGAGATCCGCTTGCCTCTGCCTCCTGAGTGCTGGGATTAAAGGTGTGTGCCACCACCGCCTGGCTAGAAGTTCGTTTTTTCATGGCTGGTGTTAGAGGTGAAGGCCTGTAGTTCTATCAGAGGTGCACTTCCAGCTATGTGTGAAGCGGAGGCAGTAGAAATGCCAGCCTGGGGGTGCTACTGCCAGGAAGGAAGAGAAAAAGGGTTGAGGGAGGTGAGTGTGTGTGTGTGTGTGTGTGTGTGTGTGTGTGTATACTACTAACCTCACCAGAGAGTCTATAGCTTCAGTCTCCGCTGCCGTGGGGAAAGTCCCTTTTTTATTAATAAAACGATGATTGCATACTAGAGTGTACATGTGTTTAGGAGGTGCATCCCCAGAAATGAGTAGTAAAAATTAATTACCACTCTCAGTCACTAGCTTTTTTTTTTTTTTCCATTTCACTTTACTGGTCAGCCCTGCTGGTCACTGACCTTGAAAGCTAGGATTAAATGATACACTTAGATCTGTAGGACAACTTAAACCCTTTCCTGTAGGCCACGGTTTGGTGAATATTGTTTCATTGCACTGGATGGAGTTCTTTCAGACTGATCAATTATCAAATGTTGTGTAAGCAGTTGAATACTGTTCTTCTGATTGCATTTCTACTGCAGTATTTTCATAGGTTCAAAGTCAGATATGGGACTGAATTTCATATCTTGCCCTTCCCTGGCCCGGCAAAGTAATTTCACAACCACAGCTGTGTTTCAAAGCACTTTAAGTGCTTTTTCCTGAGTGTCATGCATTGCTCTTCTTTCCGTTCTTCAAAGACAGAGGTCTTTGAAGGAGCAAGCTGAGTGTAGCAGTTCAATCAGAGAAGGAGTGGCAATTGACCTTTGGTTTGTCAAGGTTGATCTTGACAAGAGAAATGTCAATGAAATGATCCAGAATAAAGATTTATTGGAGTGGATACTGCAAATAGCAGAAGTTTTGGATTTTTATTGCAAAGGAGAGCAAACGTGGTTGTTTTGCTGAAGATGTGTTACAGTACGTTTTTGTACACTGGGGCAATGATCTAAGAGGTCCTTTGGTAATGTAGCAGGAAAAGGGAGCATTCTAGGACTACTGTTCTGCTTGAGCAGTCAACGTGAAGCTGATCTTGGCTGCAAGCCTGGACTAACTAGAGTCTTTGTAGATGAAGACAAGGTAGAGTGCAGTAGTTTAGTTCTGTAATAAACACCATAACCCAAAACTACTTGAGGAACAAAGGGTTTATTGCTTACACTTCTTGTGACAGTTCATTAGGGGAAGCCAGGTCAGGATCTCATGCAGGGCAGGAACCTGGAGGTAGGAGCTGAAGCTGAGTCTATGGAATGCTGCTTACTACTGGCTTGCACTCCACGGCTCGCTCAGCATCCTTTCTTATATAACACAGGATCACCTGCCCAGAGATGGTAGTGGTGGCAGTGGTCTGGGCCTTCATATATCAGTCATGAATCCAGAAAATGCCCCACAGGTGTTGGAACTGGGTAATCTGATGGAGGCAAATCCTCAGTTGAGGTTCCCACTTCTTAAGTGATTCTAGTTTCTGTCTAGTTTCTACCTAGAAGATAAAGCATATTTATTCTCAAGGTTGATAGATCTTGTGGGTGAGTTTATTTTGATTACTACTATTTTGATAGTGAAATTAGTAGCAAGGTCATTAACAGACTGTTGCCAGGAAGAAAGAGGTGTTTAGAGTTTTAAAGTGGAAACTGTAAAAGGAGCATCTAGATCATGAGTTCTCAACATGGGGGTTAGATGTGGGGAGTAGAATGACCCTCTCACAAGGGTTGTATATCAGATATCCTGCATAGCAGATATTTTCATTATGATTCATAACAATTGCTTATAAAAAATCACAGTTAGGAAGTGGCAATGAAATAATTTTATAGTTGGGGTCATGTAACATGAGGGCCTGCTTGTGGGGGATTCTGTCCTGCCCAGTTCCCACAGCCGGCAAGTCCCAAAGAAAATCACACAGAGGTCTCCATAAGTTATATAAACTGATTGGCTCATTAGTTCAGGCTTCATATTAGCTCTTATAGCTTATATTAACCCATTATTTTTATCTATGTTAGCAATATGGCTCATTTTCAGCTGGGTAGGTCACATCTTGCTTCTTTGGTGATCTAGGGAGGACTGCGGAAAGAGCTTCCTTCCCAGAATACTCCTGTTCTCATTGCCCTGCCTCTATTTCCTGTCTGATTGTCCCTCCCCCTCTACTTCCTATCTGGTTGTCCTGCCTATACTTCCTTCCTGGCTACTGGCCAATCAGTTTATTTAAAATATAATTGACAGAATATAGAATTGTCCTACAGTACTTCCCCCTCTTTAAAAACAACAACAACAACAACAACAAAAAAAAAAAAAAACAAAGGAAAATATCCATAGTCCATTTTTTGGGAATGTGGGCGGGGTATTCCAGGCTACTTCCTGCTGGTTGGTGGCTCTGATAATCTTATGGGGACCTAAAGAAAATTTAGAATTATGATCAAGTCCTGACTGGAGTATCCTGTGAGTCTTGATCTTCTTAGGCAACAGTCTTGAATCTTTTCTGGATGTAGAACTCAGACATCTGGGCCATCTATTGCTACCGGAGATTCTCCAAGTGATCTTCCTTGATCAAATCTGATTTTTCTTAACTCAGAATGAATCCACAGCCTCTCATTTCCTGTGGAAACAAAAGCAAAATCTCTTCTCCAAAGTAACATACCTTTTGACTTCAATTTTCAAAATACCTATCTTGGATTAATTCAGCAGCATTTATAAGCAAATATCTTTTAGCAGCTGTTGCTCCTTCCACAGCATTCAAACAATTCAAAGAGAGCATAATAGTATACAGTATCAAGATTCTCTGTGTACTTTTCATCTTTACATGGCTTTATTTTAACCTCTATTTCTTTTATTTTTATTTTTAAATTTTGACTTAGAGAACTGAGACAGGTTCTCTGTGTATCTTTGTCTTGGAACTCCCTCGGTAGACCAGGCTGTCCTTGAACTCACAGAGATCCACTTGTCTCTGCCTCCCAAGTGCTGGGATTAAAGGCATCCACCACCACACCTTGAATTCACAGAGGTCTGTCTCTCGCTAGCTTCGGGGAATTAAAGGTGTGTGCTACCACACCTTGAGCTCACAGAGACTTGTCTGCCTCTGCCTCCCAGTCTTTGGGATTAAAGGCATGTGCCACCACAACTTGAACTCGCAGAGGTTTTTTGCCCCTGACTCCCAAGCATTGGGATTAAGGTGTGTACCACCACACCCAACTACTACCCTTCCTTCTTTCCTTTCCTTTCCTTTTCCTTTTCCTTTTCCTTTTCCTTTTCCTTTTCCTTTCCTCTTTTTCTTTTCTCTCCCAAGCCAGCATATATTTTTAACACACAGTAAACTGTTTAGATTTTTTTAATCTTTGAATCTATCTTCACTGTATATATCTCTCTTTTTCTGACCACATGAGTCTTTAATATACTAAGCAATATGGGTAGGATTAAAGCTGTGGCTTTGACGACTAGATCCAGCCAATTTCTTAGCTTTCTGAGATTTCAGCTTCATGGTGGAGGTAGTCTGTAGCCAAGTTTATTGCCACAATTCTACAATGTTTCAAGGTCCCTACCAGCAAGCAAGCTGCAGCAGTCTGCTCACAAACCACACACAAATGCTCCGTAGTTGGACTGCCTGCCTGAAAGAGTCAGAGTTTGCCCTGACATGGCCCAGAAAGCCGGCATTTTAAAA